TTCATTTTCCACACTCAGTGCTGCGCATTTTCTTCGTTTTTATATGGAAAAAAACAGGCAACACCGTTACCAAAAAGAAAACATATACAAATCAACGGTCTTGCAATTTAAAAAAAAATATGAATTAATCATGGGCAACAAAACTGCAAACTAAAAATCTTTCTAATAAATGTAATTAAAAAGCTCGAATTTTTTGTTGATTTTTTTTTATATGGCACAAGGTTTGATATATTTATATGGGAAAATTTTCCAATAATGGACCAGGCTTTGAAAAAAATGAGGGGGTTTAGAGCGGCTTTTTGTGATTCTAAATCTGATTCTAAATTTTCAAGATATATGGAAGTATTGGATTTTTTAGAAAAAAGCGCCTCAGGCGAAAATTACACATTGTACACAATGCCCAAACCCGGTTCCCGAACCGATTTCTGGTAGCGCATTTGATACCAAACCAAAGAATGCATTTACAACTTGTGGGAATACGCACCAGTTATCGGGAAAATCGATGCATCGCTTGCATCTTCAGTCGAAGTAGGAGTAACTTTTTCTGAAACTTTGACATTTTTATTTAATTCACTAGCTGAACACGTATTTATTTATTCTTAATAAGAATATAATCATGTTTTCGTAAAATTTGTTTGGCATAAAGCAGACCTAGTACAATACATACAAGAAAATAGGAATATAGATGCAGAAGAAAACAGCGCACTGNTGGTAATTTAGGATATTGGCATTTGCGCATACTATGGACAATAATGTGGAGGGTGCGAGACAAAACGGCAGCAACAAAAGCAGTAACATCACGGCCAGCACAGTAACAGCAACGAAGGTTAATAGCAGTAATATTGGGGTCATCACCAACATTGGTAGCAGCGGTACAAATTCATCATTTTGGAAGAACAGTGGGCGATTGGTGCCAGGACGTCCAAGCCCTAAGCGCGGTGACGACACGAGTTTAATCAGCAGCAGTGTTGACGGAGTTTTGGTTCGTTCAAGCGGCGGCAAAGGTGACGGTATGGTATCCACATTTCGTGATTATCAGCAGTCAGTAAGCGATGCTTGGGACACAGGTGATGACGAATTCTGCATAATGTCAGGAGCAGCAGCAAGTGCTGCTTCGGCAAATGGTAGGTGTAAAATAAAACTGCATGCGTTATTTTCTAAATGCAATTTATAAATTTTTTACAATAACTTTGATCACCATATTTTGCTAGATTCGCGAATATCAAAAAAAGTGTCGCAAACAGCGGCGTTAAATGTTATTGAAACGCATCGAAATTCAGCAACCACTTCCACCGTACGCTCATCAGCAGCTACTTCAACCGCAGCTACATCGAGTGCAGAAAACGCGAAATCAACAAGAGTGCCAACCGTGACAATAAAGTCAGAGCAG